TTCAGAGGTGGGGGAAGGTGTCTTTTTTTTCCTCATTCCCTTTCTTTTATACCCTGAACCATGAAGTGTGATAACACTGCTTGACTGGATGGTCCTGGGAATATGTGAGTTGCTCAATTTGACTATATTATGCTTAAAATCCAGATTGTGACTGAAAGTTTTGAGGACATGAAAGTATCCTTCCCCTATTTGTACCCTCTTTCCCCCTGTGGTGGTTACAATAGCAGTCCTTGTGCTCACCTGAGGCCAGGGATTGCATGGTGCTAGTGTCAGTAGCCACCTCAATGGGCCTGGGTAGGAGGCAGGATCACAACCCTATCTTCCTCAACGCTGTCAGGGAGCGCTGGTTGGCTGCCGATGGGAGTGTGCCAGTGAGCTTTGAGAGGCCTCTGTTATGTCCTCTGTTAGGGCCCAGTCCTGTGAGGATCTTGGGGTGTGAACTGACTGACTCCTACTGAAGGCAACGAGAGACCAGCTTGACTGCAGTGGGTGTTGGATCAGGCCCTTGATGCCACCTGCCAGATATTGTGCACCTTCAGATACCTTTATTTTCAGTGGGGGTTCAGGGCACTCAGCCTGTAATAGAAGGAAGGAGTGTACCTCCAGCATTTCTTACGTTGACTAAATAATCTCTCATCTTGCCTGCAAGATCATCACACAGCAAAGCACAATCCTCAGTCTACCTTGGACTAGTTCAACCTCTGCTCTGTTGAGCTTAGATCAAGGTGACTAGCACAGGACAAGTACTCATATAGGGCATAGCCGTTTTCATTTTTTTTTCTTTTTGAAAACATTTTAAGTCACAAAGCATTGTGCAGCTCACTGCTTCTTGGAAGCTGCCTTCCTTCCAGCTGCCAGAACATTGTTGAGCTCTTTTCACTTTCTCTTGGCACAGATGTGAGTAGCCACCCTTTTCTTTATGAATTTCAGATTACGTTTATCATTGGAAAGTTTTAATAACCCCATAGAAAGAAAGCCTCACAAGCCATGAACCCACTGACTTTGCAAATCTTGTCTCCGATGAACTTAGTGCGTTTGGTCAGATGATCTCTCCTCTGACACTGCCTGGGCTCAGATACCTTCTTTGCCACTTTATGGGCCGTGTTCAAGCCAACAGCCATAGCATAGAAGGCTGCCCGCTATGGTCTTTTAAAGGTCAGATTGTGGCCCATCCTGCATGTCTGCACAGGGCAGAATAGGATGGAAGGTGCCCCCTTAGAAGGCTGTGCCAGCTACCCATATCATCCATGCATGTAGGGGGGGAAGGGGCAAGGAGTACATGGAGCACTGAGTCTACCCCCCATCCCATCATGCTTGCCAGAGCATCTGCACAGGTGCCCTGGGGGAAGTATGCTGCACCAGGTATATAACCAACACAGGGTACATTCCCTCCGAGAGCAGGGGGAAACCGGAAGCCTTATAGTGATTCCTTGCTTCCTAGTCTGCCCCCGGGGCAGTGCAGCTACATATTGACCCATATATGAGGTTTGTGGCAAATCCATGACTGGACCCATTATTTATTCATATTTTTTCTCTTTATATAAAATACTTTTCTTAGTCACAATTTTAATAAAACTATACAGAAATAACAGCAAGTATACTCAATACACCCCAAAACAAAATCCTTGCCAAATGCATGATTCATGTACAAAGTCTACGGCAAATGAATAGCCCTATCAATTACAGTAATATTTCTCACGTAAATAGCTTATTATTATTTATTTATTTGTATTCCAGTGACCCCCATTGTGCTAGGAGCTGTACAAACACAGAACAAAAAGATGGCCTTGGCCCAAAGATCTTACAATCTAAATTGCAGTGTGAACGTTTGTAGATTTTATAGGGGGATAAATATAATATGCTAACCAGTAAACTCATATAAGCTGTTTAGAGGCTGGATCCTACAAACAATCACGCATGTAAGTAATCCTTATTTATGCAGCTTGTCCAACTGAAGTGAAAGGGATTAACTTGCATAATTAAGTTCCTTTCATTTGAGTATGTTTGTAATGATTCAGGGTGAGCTGTACCTTTGAGCTTTCACTCAGTCTCTCCATGGGTCCCTTTCAAGTGACTAGCCCTGTGCTGCTCTTCTCTCAGAGTGGAATCCTGCAATTCTCCTCCTTCTTAGACTTGGTTTCCAGGTTAACTCACCCCTATTTACCACCCACGTTTCCTCAACAGTTCCTCCAACTGTATTTGCCCACTGCTATTGCCTTCCCTTCTGGAGTTCTGATCAATATGAAAATAGTGTTTCTTCAGTAGGGGGGAGGGATAGCTCAGTGGTTTGAGCATTGGTCTGCTAAACCCAGGGTTGTGAGTTCAATCCTTGAGGGGGCTATTTAAGGATCTGGGGCAAAATCAGTACTTGGTCCTGCTAGTGAAGGCAGGGGGCTGGACTTGGTGACCTTTCAAGGTCCCTTCCAGTTCTAGGAGATAGGATATCTCCATTAATTATATTATTATTCAAAACAAAATATTGTTTATTCATTCATAGGAACATGACAATCAGAGAGGAAAGGATTAAAACAACAAAGGTCTTCATGCACAGTATTCTTACCTAAATCTTAGCATTTCTCTCAAGAGTCAAGACTTAGGCTATGTTTACACTAGCACTTTTGTTGGTCAGGGGTGTGAAAAAAACACACGCCCCCAACCAACATAAGTTTCACCCTCAGAAGCGCCGGTGTGGACAACACTATGTCGGCGGGAGACGCTCTTCCACTGACACAGCTACCGCTGCTCATTGGGGGTAGTTTAATTATGCCAAAGAGAGAATTCTCTCCTATTGTCATAGAGCGCCTACACGGGAAACCTTACAGCGGCACAGCTGCAGTGGTACAACTGTGCTGCTGTAAGGTCTCCAGTGTAGACATAACCTTAGACAGGCTTGACTTACCCCTGGAACCTTCCCACTTCTGGGGACTGGGTTATAGGTTGCTTCTCTGCAGACCCTCCCTCTCCCCTTCTGCGCATCAGCGCTGCTCTTTTAACAGTTTCCAAGGCCCATATCCTCAAAAGTATTTAAATGTCTAATTCCCAATGGGAATTGACACCTGTATTGTCATTTAAGTATCAGTGATTGGGTCCATCTACAGCCATTGACTTTGGTTCCTGCAATCAAAAAACACCTAAGACTGACTTAACCCTTAGTTTTCCTTTAGGAAGCAACCAAAGGACTACCAAACCCACAGAAGTACACGTAACATTCAGAAAATCAATTCAGATACCTTGACAAAGGGTGTGCAGGATCATATTGAAAATCACAAATGATGGATTGTAGGCAGATACAGTATTTGGAATCTGTAAGAGTAAAACAATGTTTTTTGTTTTTTTTTTTTAATTAAACAATCCCAAACACAATTTATAAATTAATAAATATCTGCTCTGTCATATCTCGGATGTTATAGTATTTCCCAATACTGAGAACAGTAACTAGCTGTGGTACTTCATATATCACTGTAGTCATACACTTTCTGTTTTGGATCAATAACATCAAAAAGCTTTTCCTGTCTATTAATAATTGGCTCTAACATTTAGATATTAGGTCCAATCATGAACATCAAAACCATCCCACTCCCCCTTAAATTACCTCACATAGATATTTGTTTTAACTAATTCTATATCTCACTTAAATGTACTTTTCTTTCATTTCAGGTAATTAGTTTTTGTTTTCCATTCCTAATTTCCTTACGTATTTGCTCGTGCTTTGATGTCATTATCACTCAAGCATATTTTCAGTTATCATATTCCCTTCTGATGTATTTTTCTAGGCTATTGATGTTATATATGCGTTACCTTAATGTGTCTTTATTGGTCGTATCCTACAACCCTTTTATGATTGCAGTTACCCTTCCTAAAAGCTCGATCCTACTGTCATTGAGCTCAAGTGGAGTTTTGCCATTAACTTCAATAGGAACAGAATAAGCTACTAAATTATCAATGCTCAGTGTGCTGAGAAGTCCAAGGCCCTGCATTTGATATTGTTTAGAGCACTATAAATTAGGAACAATCTAAACAAAATCAGTGGAATTACATCAGGGTAAAACTCATCTAATGTAAATAAGATCAGAATCAAGCCAAAAGCATGCCTGTGCCCAGGCTTTATAGAACGCATTTGTTGCCTTTCTTTTGTTAGATGTGATATCCTTATGCTACCTCTTAGTGTTACATTTGCTTTTTTGTACCACTACCCTTAGAGCTTGCATTTAATTAATGTAATGTGCAATATCTTTCCCAGAACCCTCTTTTGCACTACTCTTTTCTATCCAACAGTCTCTTATTTTGTTTTTTGGCTTGTGAGATATTTCTCAGCACACTGTTTTTAAAATTCGTAATTAAATCTCATCATATTGTCCCTCTCCCTACTCCTCCCCCGATTTCTCAAAGTTCCCTGGAAACTCTCAGTATTCTACTATATTTATAATCACTCCTAACAGTGCTTTGGAATGATCAGTAAATTTCATCAGAGCTGGGTATACTGTTGTGTTTGATTCATGAGGAAATTGGGCTGAATACTAATAAGTATTTATCACTACCTACAATTAACTGTTCCCTACCATACTGTATACTTTTGCATACCCACTGTAAAGTGTGTCAGATATTTATTCCACCTGAATGGCCAATGATAGGTGTGCCCCAAAGTCCTGCTTTCACGTTAAAAATTGTTAGTCTGAAAATACACTCTCTGATGTATCAGCCTATTCACATAGGGCCTAATCCTACAGCCCTTACTCATTCAAGATACTGGGACTGCTGAGGTAAGTAAAGACTATTAGTGTGGGTAAGCATTGCAGAAGTGGGCACTTATTCACACCTGATGCTAGGACCATGAATGAAATCCTGGCCTGACAAAACTCCCATTGACTTCAATAGGGCCAGGATTTCATCACACATCTCTTATAATTTCTGAATATCAGTTGCAGGGATTTTTGAAACACATTCGTAAATGATACTGAAGATGACACCCTTAAAATATATTTCTTTCTTTTCTTTTTCAGGAAGTATTTTGGAGAAAAAATAGGACTGTATTTTGCGTGGTTGGGTTTATATACAGAATTCCTTATTCCATCGTCAGTAGTTGGGATTATAGTGTTTCTTTATGGATGTATAACCATGGAAAGTGACATTCCTAGGTAAGCTTGTCTGTGAACAGTATTTTGTTACTGAATACTTAAAACATTATGTTATTGGACTTAATCCTCAGTAACTGCAATTACTTTTAGTATGTTTGAGGAACATTTGTATAGTATTAACAAACAAATCTGTATAATACAGTTGCATTTATTTCACTAGGATCCTACACACATGAAATAATCTTATTCAAACCAAATAAATTCCTTTGTGTGTTTACAAGAATGCAATAAACTTACTGAGCATATTTATTTCAGTAGCTTCACCATTGAATAGCCAAATAAACACATGGTCATATTCCACTGTAATTCATTCTAATGTCACACTTACACAATATGTGTGCATTTGCATATGTGTAATATTTGAATGCAATGCAATAGAATGTGTTTATTTGGGTCTTCAAAGGTGCAGTCACTGAAATAAGGACACTCAGTAAGTTTATTGCATTCTCCTAAAACATGTGAGTAGATTTATTGATCTGAATAAGATTATTTCAGTGTTCTTACATGTATGTAGGATCACAATGAAATAACTGCAGCTGTGTTAGTACAGATTTCCAGATATAACAAGTGTATATCTAGAGTTCTGCAACTTGGTATATTGCAAACAATGATGTCTTTGGAATAAGTGGTGCTGTTCAAATACAACATAAAATCTGTTTACATAAATGGTTTGAAAAATTAAAATTAGAGCTGGTCAAAATGTTTAAAACAAAAAGTTTTTCTATTAAAAATGTATTTAACCCCCCACAAAAAAATTGCAAAAATGTTTTGATATTGTCAAAAAATTTGGTTTTCCATTAAATATTGTTTTTTTCCTTGCAGATATTAAAAAAAAAATTGAAGACATTCTCAAAAACCTTATCTAACTATCATTTTTTTCATACACTGAAGGTTTTCAATAAGTGAAAAAATAACATTTCCAATAAAAAAGAATAGTGGAAAAAACTGGGAAATTTCAAATAAATAAAAATGAATCCATTTCAAACCTTCAGAAGCAAGAACCCCAACTTCTTAATTAGAAAATGTTTCGTAAAGCTAGTTTTTCATTTTTTGACTAGCCCTATTTAAACATAGCAGAGTTGGTGAATATAAAAATTAGTATAATGACAGTTTGATCAGATTGAGTGTGTTTATAAACATAAGCAAAGTCCTGCTTCCCTTATTTCCAAGATTAGGTTGTAGTGCAAAGCTCATTGAAGTGAATGGAAGGGAAGCATTTCCATTGTCTTCAAAGATCTTCATTTCACTTTCTTAATCCTCTGTAAGTCAAGTTATTTGCATGGGTAGTTGTCATCAAAAATTAGCCCGGTGCCTTTTTTACATTTGGAGTCTGCAGTATTCCCTAATTCCTGGTTCCCCAAACTATTGTTTGTTTGTTTGTTTGTTTTCTGTTGATGTGTCTATGAATAAAGAAACATTTTAGTAAATACTGATGCAAATGCTCACTTCTCAGTGAAAAAAATGTAAAAATAGGAATCTTTTGGTAATTTGCTATTTATCAGTTGCTAATAAATAAAGAAGCATCAAAATGGTTAGGTAGTTAGCTAAAGAAATTGACACTTTTTAAGCATGACCATTGTAAGTCACAATGCTGGATTCTAATATTACCTGTTTGTCTGCAGAATTCTCGAGGTATTCCCTACACATACTGAATTAACCTTATCCTTGGTTTCTACACATAAAATGAAAACCAACATTTTTGGAAGGAACAAAACTCTTCATGCTTCAGGGCATAAGGCAACCTCTAAATAATGAGCGTTAGGATGAAACTGTCTCTACAGGCAGGTTGTTCCATAACTACCACTGCTGGGTTTTTGCAGCTTTCTTGGAACCATTAAATGGCCACTATCAGAGATAGGATACTGAATTTGATGCACCTTGGGTCTGATCCCAGTATGGTAATTTCTATATTAGCTAAGGTAAATTGGCAAGTTTTAAAACATGATTACTGTGCAGAAAAACAGATCGAGACAATTATCAGTGATTGGTAAATGATGATTGATAACATTTCTGATTTAGATTTTTTAACCTGATTTGAATGAACTTTTAATTGAGATCAGCTGTGCCCGTCTCAAGCAAATCTTATGCTAACATTAAAACTGCAGAGAGACTTAAGGCAAAGATAGTTCTGCCCCACTCTCTGCTGCCTTTTCAAATACAAAACAAGAGAGTGTTATTTTAACTATGTCATGGCTGGAAATAGCTGTACATAATTAAAATGAAATAATTTCCAGACGGATGGTCTTGACTGTTAAAGGAATAAATCATTTTCCATCACTAACTTCTATGATGATAGAAAATCACAGCAGATATTTGTCAAAAAGGAAACAATCAGAAACCAGAATAATGTAAAGTTACCATACACCTAATATCAGTGAAACAGTCTTGTAAGTTCTTCTGTTAGGCCATGATCCTGCCATTTGATCGATGCAAGATCTATGCCTTATGCTCTGAAACATGAAGAGTTTTGTTCCAACCAAAATTTTTGGTTTTCATTTTATGTGTAGAAACCAAGGATAAGGTTAACTCAGTATATGTAGGGAATACCTTGAGAATTCTGCAGACAAACAGGTAATATTAGAATCCAGCATTGTGACTTACAATGGTCATGCTTAAAAAGTGTCAATTTTTTTAGCTATCTAACCATTTAAATGCTTCTTTATTTATTAGCAACTGATAAATAGCAAATTACCAAAAGATTCCTACTTTTACAATTTTTTTCACTGAGAAGTGAGCATTTGCATTAGTATTGACTAAAACCTTTCTTTATTCATAGCCACATCAACAGAAACAAACAAACAAACAATAGTTTGGGGAACCAGGAATTAGGGAATACTGCAGACTCCAAATGTAGAAAAGGCACTGGGCTAAATTTTGATAAAACTATCCAAACAAATAACAGTTTGGGGAACCAGGAATTAGGGAATACTGTAGAGCATGTGACCACTGACCTGAATGGGACTCCATGTGAGCATCAACATCTTGCATACAGATCTGGCTGCTTATTCAGTAAAATCAGTAGGTTTTGGCTTAACCTAAAGGAAAACAGTGGTTGTTAGTTAAAGACCTTAGATAATTGAATAAATATATAGTATATAACAATGCATATTTTTTAAAAAAGACTTTTTAAATAGAAATTTTAAAAACTTTAGAAAATGTTCACATTAGTTTGTAAAAATGCCAATCAGTGTTTGGTAACTCCGGTTCTGGTGTCTCTTGGTGAGAATGGACGTTTGCTTGTACTACATCAGATGATGTAATCTGAGGTACAGGGCATACAGTTTAGCATTTAAATGCCTGAGCCAGGACGGAGAGCTTTACAATTGTTGTAAAGTACATTTCATCATATTTTGGAAATTTAGATTAGCATTCTTTCTGAAAAAATAAACAATTGAGTCAAATTGTGACAGGAGAGCATCGCATGCACATTTGGGTCTGGACAGATGAGACGAATTGGCCAACATTTTCAAAACTGACTGACTAGTCTGTTTGAGTGCTGTAATTTTTGGATACCCAATTTGAAATACCTTCAAGGGGCCTGATTTTTGGCAACTGCTGAGCATCCACCTTCTGGAGGTACCCAAATTAACTAGTAACTTTAGAAAATCTTGGCCAAAATGTTGTAGCAGAAGATGCTACAGAGAAGCATTAAAAGCTTACCTTGGGAAAATACCCAGTGTTTATCCAAGTGTTCCGCAAGTGAAAGTGCAGTCTAGGAGAAAGCAGGATGTTTCCTCCAGAAGTGAGGGAGTGTTTGTTCCTTGGCCAGATCCTCAGCTGGTTTAAGTCTCTTGACTTCAATGGAGGTATGCCAGTTTACATCAGCAGAGAATCTGGCCCAACATATCCTGCAAAATGTTTTGCACACAGCTGCCAGGTGATTGGTTCCATCTGTGAAATGGATTAACTAAAATGCATGGGTACATTTAATAGCTTTATAGGGTGTTATGCAGATTTGTGGAGCCACATTTCCTCTTATTTGCACATAGCCAAATATTCCGCATAATTCTGGCCAAGATTCATGCACAGATTAACGTGGCATGTAGCACACGTTCTTGTTTGAGATGTTAATCCATGTTAGAGACGTGTGTTTTATCAAGGGGAAGCCAGAATTTGGCCCATGGAGTTTACCTTACTGCAAATTTAATCCTTTTTTTTCTCATGCATTCAAAAGCTGATCTGTATTTCCTGTGTCTCAAATTGGATCATCAGACTCAGGATGTCAGTGTTTGCTTTGATTTCTTTTAATTATATTTAATACACATTTTTAGTGAGTCATTCTTCTCCAATAAAATCTAGCGATCAGATTGGTTTATTATTTTGCATTGGTTTTCCTTCAGCACAGTACCTGCATGTGCTTAAGCCTCCAAGGTGTAACAGCATGCAGTCGCTGTGAATGGCTGAATGCACTACAGTACAAAACACAGATGCTTCATCTTTTCATTAGAAATACATTGTGACATCTTTGCATTTGTTATTTATAGTAAAGAGATGTGTGACCAAGAGAAAGCGTTCACCATGTGCCCTCTTTGTGACAAGTCTTGTGACTACTGGAACCTCAGCACTGCATGTGCTACAGGACGCGCTAGCCACTTGTTTGACAACCCTGCAACAGTCTTCTTCTCCATTTTCATGGCTCTCTGGGGTGAGTATGGTTTTGAATGTTAGCAATGTTATTAGATCTTTGGACTCATAACAGAAAGGAAAACTGCGATGGTACAGTAGTCGAGCATTAATATTTTATTATGCTTAGGGCATTAAGGGATTAAATGTACTGCATATGCCTTATGGAGCTAGCAAGCCCCCAAAGGCTAATATGTGCTGGCTTTTGCTGAGGACTGGATTCCCTCCTCTTCCTGGCCACCCACTAGGATTGCGGTGAGAGGAATCCAAGCTTCTGTGCTCTGAATTCCCAGTGGTGTTTTAAGCTGTAGGAGCCTGAACAGAGTCCAGTCACTACCCCAATCTTGGAGGCCCTAGGCATACTCTTAGCATGCAGATGTCCTATCTGGCAACCCTTTCTGAATGTCGGAACTTGCTGTCCAGCCACCTAACCCCTCTGGATACAGTGCTGACCCTTCAGACTCCCCAGTATTTAAACACACCCCTTTCATTGAATTCCACCCCGAAGGTGTGAAGCTTCTGGTTTACAGTTGAACTCTCTCAGTGGTCCTTTGCTCCTTGCCTTCCTGCCCCTGCAGCAGCCTCCCTCATCTTAGTCTGGTGCAAAATGGCTCTTTCCTCCAGTTCTCCCCCCCGCCACTACCCGTGAGTCCCTTTATAGACTCCTGCTGGGGCCATCTGCTTCTTTTGTTCTGCCTTTTGGTAATTTTCCATTACTCTCAACCCCCTTTCCCTTCAGACAAGGGGAGGAAGTGTCTTCTCCCAGATAGAACAAACCTACTGTCCTAAGGTGTCTTACTTTGAAAAGATGATCGTTGAGTGCTGCTCATTTACTGGTGTCTGTCCCTGCAGAGACCTAACACAACCCTGCTAATTCAGGTCGGATCCACATCCATATAGGCTTTCCATGACACAGTATGCATGATACAGTTTCATAAAATTATCTAAAATTCAGAAGTGGTAGAGACAGAGACCCCCATTTCGTCACACTGACGAAGGACTGGAGCTAGTTGTGTTACCAGGGATTCCCTCTGACTGTGGCAGCCATGGGCTGTGTGTGTTTTGTATATAATATATGTATATAAATACATACAGCCCAGGAGTCCCTCTGCCCATGCCCCCAGCCTGCCTAATACTGCTCCCAGTCTGCTCTGTCTTCACATCTTTCCTCTGTGGGGTTCGCATGGAGAGCAGGTTCCACAAGGCTTGGGAGACAGTACTGGGCAGGCTGTCAAATGTCTCCTTCCACATGGAATGGGATTCATTTAAGCACAGAGCGCATTCGATGTGGGACAGTCTTCTCCATGACTCTGTCAAAACTTTATGGGACTCATCCATGATTTCCCCCCAAATATCATGTGACAATCACTGTGTACACACTAGATTTGTCCATAACAACAAAAATTCTCTGCCTATCCAAGGATCTCAAAGCGCATCATAGACACTAATTAATATTTTACACCTCTTCCTTACTTGTGTTGCTGTTGGCTTCTCCCAGGTCCTGGCAACTGCATGCATTGTATTTTGCTTACCTTGCTGCAAAGTCACTCACTAGTGATCTTATTTATTGTGAAAGCTACAGACGTGGTGGTCTTTTAAAACAGTCTCTGGAGGGCACCGCTGTAAACTGAACTGTGAAATGCATCAGGAAAGCCTCAGACTGAGTGTAGAACTTTGGCCAAGCAGCCATATTAACCCGATATTGCCAACTCCAAGTGATCAAAGATCATGAGTCAGGCCCCATAAATCATGAGATTGGCTTTAAAATGATTAAATTAAAAAAAAATATTTTGAGCCTTTAGGGAGCATTTTCAAGCTTTACTCGGCTAGAAGCTTACTTAAAAAATGAGAGTTTCATGTGAACACATGACTTGAGGAGTTTGGGCTTTGAAAAACACACCAAGTATCATGAGGCTCACAGTAAAATTGTGAGAGTTGACAACATTGTTAACCTGGTCCAGTTGTGGCTCAATAATAGCTCTAGAAATTACACTGTGTTGAGTGTTATGAAAACTGAGGTGTCGTGGTTTATCTGCTGTTATGGACTATATAATGCACAGGCTTGTAAATTTGCTACCTGTATCTATCAGAGTTTCACCATGAATGTATAGGATGCAATGTGTCCAAACCACAAAGGAATGAATGCTCTCAACATTGGCAACCTGACAGAATAGATATGCACAATCAGTGCCTGAATATGGCAGAAGATGATGCCAATAGGTTGGGAGGAAGAGTTGAATGAGAAAAATGAAGTAAAATAAGCTCAGCACTCTGGGGTTGTATGCCCATTCCAGTGCACTTTCATCAGTTACATCAAGTGAATTCCTGCATGGTTCCAAGAGGTGACACTTTCTATGGAGATGAACATAAGGACCACCCTCCCTGACATGCCAGAGTATAATCCTCCAGACTAATGAGTAGCTATGTCAATCCTGCCTTGTAACCTGGAGTGTCCTTTACAATGCCTTGTTGCTGTAGCCTGTAGCCTCGACTGCTCCCAACACATAAATCAATCCCAGCTGTGCTTCTGTGTGTGCTGCAGCCAGCCAGCTACACCTTGGCTCTTACCAGCCTTGGTTATGCTGCTGTGTGACCCCAACACACCTCCAGTTCCAGATTTCCCCCCAGAAATGTATGTCTAGGGCCCTACCAAATTCACGGCCATAAAAAACGCATCATGGACCGTGAAATCTGGTCTCCTCCCGTGAAATTTGGTCTTTTTTGTATTTTTACCCTATACTATACAGATTTCATGGAGGAGACCAGTGTTTCTCAAATTGGGGGTCCTGACAGAAAGGGGAGTTGCAGGGGGGTCACACGTTTATTTTAGGGGGGTTGTGGTATTGCCATCCTTACTTCTGCACTGCCTTCAGAGCTGGGTGGCTGGAGAGTGGTGGCTGCTGACTGAGGGCCCAGCTCTGCAGGCAGCAGTACAGAAGTAAGGCTGGCAATACCATACCATGACATCCTTACTCTGCGCTGCTGCTGATGGTGGCTCTGCCTTCAGAGCTGAGCTCCCGGCCAGCAGCCGCCGCTCTCCAGCTACCCAGCTCTGAAGGCAGCGCCATCGCCAGCAGCAGTGCAGAAGTAAGGGTAGCAACCCCCCAACAATAAACTTGTGACCCCCCCTCCCCACAACTCCTTTTTGGGTCAGGACCCCTACAATTACAATACTATGAAATTTCAGAGGTACACAGCTGAAATCTTGAAATTTAAGATTTTTTTAAATGCTATGGCCGGGAAATTCACCAAAATGAACCGTGAATTGGGTAGGACCCTATATATGTCCTGTACTGCCCAGCCCTCTTCTGGACAGTGCAAATATAATGAGTCCATTATTCCTTTAAGGGACTAATACATAGACAACTTGTTTTCCTAAATGGAGTTACGCAGACATTTCAGCTTGAACACACTGGATTAGGTAATACAGTAAACCAAGTTTACTTCTACAGAAAGATAGATTTTGAGTGAGTATAAAAATGAGGCACAAAAGTCAGAAATGGCTACAAGAAAAATAAAGATAAACTGTTAACTGGTATCCACTTAAAAAGCTATCTTAGTTGCAAAGCAAACTTTTCACCATATGCTCCAGCAGATTACTGCCCAAACTCTCTCAGGTCAGAACCCTCCCCCCAGAGTCCAGTGGCTGCTTCCTTTGTCTCTTCAGGTGCAGTGAATGTGATGGGCAGGGGGAGAGAGAAGGATGCCTTGGGGTGTTTGTTCCTTATATAGTCTTAGATCCCCTTTTGAAAAACATTTCCAGCTGAGAAACAGGAGACACAGAGTCTATGTGGAAGGTTGTTCCCAGCTGGTTTTTTCAACTGTTTGAACTTCCTTTGTCTTCCTTTCCTACTTGATGACTCTGTTTACTGCTTAAATGCAAATTAAGCAGAGCACAGGTTCCTTTGTTTAAGACAAACCAGTTTCCCAACTTCTGTTTGGTCATGGCTGTGGGGTTTGGAACATGTGTTAATAATACCTTACATAGGAACCTTATAACTTCACATTATATGCCACACATATTTTACCAGGACAATACTGACCAGCAAATTATCAGTTTCCAAATGGTACCTTTGTATAAAGATTATTACAATAGTACATAGAGTATGAATACAGGGGTCTATTCTGTCACACCCTCCAAATTTATCATTACAGTTCCACTGTATGGTAATTGTTGGCTTTTAATTCTGGCCATTATGTGTAATGATAATGTATGAATGACGTACTGTCTCAGATAGATACAAGATAGATACAAGATAGAATAATCATGGAGCAGGTCCTCAAGGAATCCATTTTGAAGCACTTGGAGGAGAGGAAGTTGATCAGGAACAGTCAATATGGATTCACCAAGAGCAAAGCATGCCTGACCAACCTGATTGCCTTCTATGATGAGATAAAACTGGCTCTGTGGATATGGGGAAAGTGGTGGATGTGATATATCTTGACTTTAGCAAAGCTTTTGATACTGTCTCCCACAGTATTCTTGCCAGCAAGTTAAAGAAGTATGGATTGGAAGAGTGGACTATAAGGTGGATAGAAAGCTGGCTATATCATTGGGCTCAATGGGTAGTGATCAACGGCTCGATGTCTAGTTGGCAGCTGGTATCAAGAGAAGTGTCCCAGGGGGTTGGTCCTGGGGCCGGTTTTGTTCAACATCTTCATTAATGATCTGGATGGATTTCACCCTTAGCAAGTTTGCAGATGACACTAAGCTGAGGGGGGAGGTAAATACACTGGAGGGTAGGGATAGGGTCCAGAGTGACCTAGACAAATTGGAGGATTGGGCCAAAAGAAATCTGATGAGGTTCAACAAGGACAAGTGCAGAGTACTATACTTAGGAACAGAAGAATCCCATACACTGCTACAGGCTGGAGACTGACTGGCTAAGCGGCAGTTCTGCAGAAAAGGATCTGGAGATTACAGTGGAAAAGAAGCTGGATATGAGTCAACAGTGTGCCCTTGTTGCCAAGAAGGCTAACAGCATATTGTACTGCATTATTAGCAGTGTTGCCAGGAGATTG